ACGTTCTTTATTTCAACGGCTTTTCCCTCGTCTGCTGAACCAATTATTGTATCAAAGAGGGGAAACTAGTCTGGTCTAGCATGATTAGTTCCTAATAAAAGTACCTCCGCAGCCTCTAATCACTGTATTTCCCTCTGGGCACTTGGCAATTAATTGTTTTCGAGTTCGTCCTCCACTCATCCCCGATAAAGAGGTCAAATTAACACGGCCGTCATCTCCTTGGTCCGCCATCTTTCCCGCCTGCAGGGGAGTCCCTCGGCCGGCTGCTTCTTGATCTCTGGGGCCACCCGAGATCCATTCAAGGATCCCTCAGGAACAGAGACGAAAGGGTGATTTATGTATTTTATGCTTATTTTATATCGAAGTTTAAGGGGAAAATATGAAAGGCTCTGTTTGCCGACCTTATTTACCAGGAGGCCCTACTTACTTCCTCTAGGCACTTAAGAATCGCGGAAGAGCTATTTTGAAAGCCAACCAGGCTCCCAGTGTTGGCACATTATTCAAAAATGGTGTATTTGACTCTGCCTGCAAAACCTAGCTTGCAAACTACAGCCTGGGGAACAGCCTTTGGCTCGAGCAACATCTCCCAGATTGCTTCCTTCACCCATCATCCCCAAACGGCCAGCCTGGGGCTGATGGGAGCAGCAGCCTCGCACACCTGGAGGCTGCTCAGTTGCGTTGGTTCAGAGGCATTGCTATTTGAGCTGCCGGGAGACAGCCTCGTACCGAACCGCCGAGTCCTGCGCTTTCTGGTCGCCAGCCCAGCGCCACAGTTCCCAGTATCTGGCAGACCTTGGAGCGCAGCTTAGAAAAACCAAGAGCCAAACCAAGGGAGCTGGGCCCCCAAACCTGTCCTGATCCATCAACTGCAGCTTGATTCTCACTATGAAAACGCGTCTAATTAGAAGGACTGCCACGCGCAAAGCTGCAAAGCAGTTCCACCCCCTCCTCCTCTTCTTTTGCCAAACTGGGTGAGAAAGAAAATGTAAAGTTGGCATTTCTTCCCGTGGCATTCAGTGCTCGACGTTCAAGGTGAAGCGGCCACCGCCGGCTTCTTCCTCCAATAAGAACCAAGGGCGTCTGGAGCGGACGCTGCGGCCCAGCTGAAATCAATCGGGTATAGCCAATGTTAATTTCTGACCTTCACAGGAAAAAGTGCATGATCTAAGGTATCAGACTTTAACAAAAAACAACTCATACCAAAATCCACTTTAAAAAACTCCCTCCCCACTGCATGCACATATTAGAAATTATGAATTTCCTATCCTTTTCCTGATCTATTTTGTGGACACCAGGAAGTTGAAGCTGGTACTTGTAGGGTAACGTGTGCATCGAGAGAGGCCATCTGAAATGGGCCTCCCCACACAAATTATTGATGCCTCTCCTCGATTATAGGAAAGGGATTCTACGCTTAATGGCAGAAGGAAGTAGAATCCCACCCACCCTGCAGGAAAGTGTCCTTGCGTCCAGTGAGATAATATTAGGGAGAACCCAGCATCACCCTGAATTAGTTTAGTTACGCTCAGGAAGGTTCGTTTATTTCATACGGGGAGATTCAGAAATCTGGATTTGCCCCCAATCAAATAAGTAAGTGGGTCATGGATTGAGGCATTTGGGTCCCAGCTGCTCTTGGACCAAAATTCCCAGAAGCCTTCCTCTCTAGCTGTGCTGGCCAGGATTTCTGGGAGTTGTAGTCCAAGAACCTCTGGGTAACCCATGGTTGGGAACTACTGGATTAAGGCCATTTCCCTCATATACACACACACCATTGGAGGTGGATGACTCCCATTTCAGGCGTGCTGTAAACCCACTCCAGGTTTTCAAATGCACTTTGTAGGAACTGAACTCACATCTCCCAAAACAAGACCTGCATCTTCAGCAACTCTTATAAAGTTCAGACTAAATGAATGGAGTGAATTCAGAGCATTTCTGATTCAAACTCTATTTCCCTCTCACACACATGGTTGTACATACACTCACATCGCCCCCTCATGCCCATGTGTGATATTACAACTACAAGGGTTCACATATGTTTTAGCGCATTGTGCTCCAATAAAGTGATGTGACCGCCAAAGGAGACAACGGTAGCAATTGGGCGAGGAAGACCCTGCCATCAAAAGTTGGAAGAGAATGGCTTCAAATGACTTCATCTTGGATTAAAGTTGCCGATCGAAAAGGCAACCCCAACGGGAGCACGTGGAAAATTGATTGGCTCAGATCTGTAGGGTTGTCTTGGCCTTAATGGAAATGGAGGGCACCCAGAAAAAAATTCCATCCTGCAGGCACTCTTGATTAGTCTTGACGTCCCCTAAGGCAACGTTGGTTATACCCAACCTGTCTATCTAACCACAGGAAAGCGCACCCAATCATGGAGAAGCTTGAGTTTTCCATTGTGCCAAACCTCACCCTGAATTACAGTTAGCTACCATCAGACTTAGAATCTTAAAGAGTAACTATAGATCTTCCTGCTTCTCAAAAGAATAATAGCTCCTTTTCAGCTGCTCACTTGAAAATATGGATATTACAAGTCGCTGGATTATCTTAGTAAGCATGCCCTCCTCCTGCCTGCTTAAATGTTTACAGGACAGCCTGGAGCAGCGCTTAAAACACATTATAATCATCTTCCGTGGTAAGTTATGAAACTACGAGCATTCAAAGTACCTTAAATGTTTCCAGTTGTGCCCCTGCCAAAGGAATGATTATCTGATCAGAAGTTACAATAGTAATGTAACATCCTTCCATCCAGCTTACTGTCAACAGATGATTTAATTAGGAGGAACGAGGACTTTGTAACTTGTTGCTTCCAAGCTCTGGGGGTGCAAAAGCAGAGGTCAGACACAACGTGGCAGCTTCTGTTGATCGCAAACACGTCTTGGCTGCGAGAGGGCTTCTTGAAAGCCAAAGAGGCCAGCTGGAAGAAGATGAAGCGGGAGGCCATGTCCCACCCATGCACGGCTGGGAGAATTTAATATAACTATCCATAAATTTCCCCCGTCACTTTTCCACTGCTCTGCTCACAAGGCAATGGTTCAAATCATAAAAATAAATGTGTGCAATAAGATCATGGTTAAGTATCAGCGCAATGCAATTGCCAATGTGTGTATTAGATTTCAGTCTTAGCCTGAGACTAAAACACACATTTACTGAAAATCAGATAAAACTGAGACTGATCCAGTTCACCTGGACAGGTGAGTCACGAATGGCACCACCACAGCAAGGACCACCATCACCAACCTATTTTGGATGGTCTAGCCTCAATCTGTTAGTGCCAACAGGAGCAACAAAGGGATCTCCTTGTGTAGCTGGTGATCAAGTTCTTCCGAGAGGCCTCCATCAAACTATGTTGTGACCAGACCACGGATGGGCCACGGTTCAGAGTCCCAGGGCCACCACTCCCATCATCTCAACTACTTGCAGTCCAATCAGCCGGGGTCAATGGGTTCTCCACCCCTGAACTATGGCTTTAAAGGTTGCTGTGAAACTGCCAAGTCCACACACACACACACCGACAAAGCAGGAAATCCACCACTACAGGATCCCTTAAAGAGGGCTATCCAACCTTTAAAAAAACCTTCAGTCGGCCACCTTCCGAGAGTGTCTGCTTCCTTCTCATCAGCTCTTGGTCTCTGCAAGCTCTTCGTCATAATATGCCCTCAAAACCTCCTTTCTCCCAATTTGATCTGTTTCTTCCATGCAGAGACATCGACATTCTGCAGGCATGTAAACCAGCATCCAGCAACAACTGCAAGTCTAGTGATGCAGCGTAGAAAATTCTCCATGATATAAAAAAGACCATAAAATGTATTAGTAATAACTTGGGGTGGGGTTTTGTTTGTTTTCTTGGATTACAAATCCCCAAATTCCACATTCAGGGAGTTCTGATTTATACACCGATCTTATGGGCTTCTAAATGTGGCTCACCTGGGAGGAAAGGCCTCAACCAGCTCCACCCACACTTCCTATTCCTGCCCAGGTGCTAGCTGGGAGATTTCTTTCTGAACAGGAAGCTAGGCAGAGATAGGCCTAGCTAAGCCTCAAAGCCTTCCAGTAATTCCGGCATAATCCCTAGAATGAGAAAATATGGGATTTGTAGTCCAGGAAATCCAAAAATCCCATCCCTAGTAATAATGCACAGAAGATAATAATTTATGACCATACAATATTCCTGAAAACACTCTTCCTTCTGGGCAATCAGCCACAACTTGAATTAGCCAAGCAAGGGACTTATTTAGCAAAAAAAGAGAATAAATCTTGCGTCAATCTGAAACTGAACTCAATAGTACAATTACAACAGAGTCTGCAGAAAGTGACACCAAAACTGGAAAAGCCCAAATGATGTCAGAGGAAGAGAATTAAACTCTGTAGGAAGTAGATGAATGGATGATTACAGCGCATCGTGCAAGCTTGCCGGATATGCTAAAATTAGTAAATCAAGACTTTTCAGTGCCTTCTTCCTTTAAATTTAAACAAATGATGTAAGAGCAGGACATGTTGTAACCAACTGAAGTAGTTCAAGACAGTAAATTTCCAAATAACACCGGTCATTTGTTTGAATGTGATATTTAAGCCCCATTTTGATTTTTTTCTTCTTTGATGAAATATTTTAATTCAAATATTTATGCACTGTTGGGACATTTAAAAGTTCTGCTGAGTAAATGTAAGTCAGCTCATGCTCTATTTAGGACACTGGAAAACTTTCTGGAAATGTTTCAGATTCCAGAAAACGTAGGTGGTACTCCAAGTGACCTTGTTTCTGGAGGTTGCAAAGAGGAGAGGCGTCAGATGGTTATTTGTAAGGCGGATCTCACCCTGTAAGCCAGATCCTCACGTCTTCCGTTTGCCTTCCTAGCATGGGAGCGGGGGTTTATGAGGCTGGGAGCATGCGTTCTGCCTTTAGCAAACGCTCAGCCTCTGCTTCATTTGGGGGAAGGAGGCGAGCCCAGTCCTGTCTGGGACCTCCGTAGCTTATGTTGCCAATAACTAAAGCAAAACACCAACACTAACGGGGAGTTAACACTTTACTCAGAGGAACAAAGGGAGGAAGGCCTCTGGCACATGCTGGCTTGCTGAGGGTGCTCCCCTCGCCTCTTCCTCTCCCAGCTTCAGTGACCTGGAGAACTTGAAAAGGCTTTTAAAAAAAAAGGTGAAGAATGGAAACTCCAGACTAAGAAGAGGAAGCCTCTTAGAAGTGTCAGTTGCTGAGCAGCTTGGCTCTCCCTGGAAAGTCAACTGCTGTGTCCTCAAAACAACCTCTTGGCGCACAAGAGGGTTGGTAAGATCCTGCGACGGCAGGAATCCCGGTGCTGATGCCCACCGAATTCTGCTCCCACCAAGCAGGCACCAGCAGGTTGTTGGGCGCTAACGGGGCTGCTTTGCCCTTCCTAACAACCTGAAAAGAGGCTCTACAGCCCGCTAATGATCCAGTCAATACGGACAAGCCCCCCCACTCCCCACCAGGCAAATCATGCTGGCAACCTGCTGCTCACTGGACCCCCTTCGCCCTCCCGGGCAGGCGAATCACCTGCCACAGTGACCTCAATTCGCCTATTTACTTTTGGGGTGGAAAAGGAAATCCGGATAAGGTCCTAAGAGTTGCTGTCTTCTGGGGACAGGCCAAATCAGAAGGGTCTCCGTAGGGCCGGGCCTCCGTGCCAGCCTCAGGGCTTCATGTTGCTCAGGCGGATGTCCCGCTCAATTTCAAACTGCCGGTGGTCCACCCTCTCCAGAAATGCCTTCCTCTCCAGGTACCTGCAAGGACATGGACATGGGGGTCAATGGAGGGACCGAATCATCTGGGGCCACGGGTGAAGTGCCTTTACAGGGGGCAGCTGGGCCTCGTGGGCCTTCAATTCCACTTTTTGCACCTGTGCAGCCCAGGAAGCTCATACAGAAAGAGGCAAGGTGGGAGCTTCTCAATTAAATCTGCAAAAATGCTTCTTACCCCACCCCACCCCCAATCTCACAGGTTGGGTGTTTGCAGAATCAGCCGATAAAACGAATCTGGTGCTTTATTATTTGAGGACCGGCCCCCATTTTACAGCTTTGTAAGCTTCTGATTTGCAAGTTATGAAGCTAAAAAACATTACCGTAGCCAAACCAAAGGTCCCTCCACCCTTAAGGAAGACCTGATTGTATTGGTGAAGCCTGCATCCTCATTTGTTTCTGCCCAAATCTCACAGGTTGGGTGTTTGCAGAATCAGCCGATAAAACGAATCTGGTGCTTTATTATTTGAGGACCGGCCCCCATTTTACAGCTTTGTAAGCCTCTGATTTGCAAGTTATGAAGCTAAAAAACATTGCCGTAGCCAAACCAAAGGTCTCTCCACCCTTAAGGAAGACCCGATTGTATCGGTGAAGCCTGCATCCTCATTTATTTCGGCCCAAATGTCAACCCGAGTTATGTTTCAGAGGGTCGCCTTCGAACCCTCTTCGAAGCCCCTGCTTTACACGCAAACCCTCTCTGTTGAATTAACAACAGCAATGCAAGGAATCAGGTGAAGTTAAATTCCTTCTTGTTACTCACCCCCCCCAAATAACTCAAATTACTCTGCTAATTGAAAGCTATAAATAATCTGGAGTAATAAGAAGGGAGATAAGTGCTAATGAACTCAGGTGCATTTCTGGGGCACCTGTCTTTTTTTTTCTCCACTGGGACCAACGGCGCATTCCCCATAGCCCCCCCCCCACATCACGCCACCATGAAAACAAAGCTAGGGAACTCAGGAGGGCGGCATCTCTTCCCTCGCCCAGAAACACACTTTGCAAAATCAGGCCAGGCCAGAACGAGACCCGGTTGTGGCTCCAGAAACAGAGGAGTTCACAGCAGGCAGACCCGGTACATAGCCTGGCCTCGGGAAGTGTGGTGTGAGGCCAAGGAACCGCCAGAAAGCAGCTCGAAATCTTCACGTGAAGCCTCGAGGCTTCGGGAGAGCCTTCCAAAGATGCCGGAGCCCTTCCAAAGATGCCGGCATGGTGGCTGCCCCTATTAAGCACGGACGGCTGCTGGGTCTTACCCTCCCTTCCCTCGGTTGTGGACCGCCAGCTCCTCCTGGATGCCCTCCTGGTCTTTGAAGGTCTCCCAGTCCAGCTTGGATTTCTCCAGCGTGCTCATCTTCGGCTTTTTGGCACCAATCTTCCCCAGCAGGCTGTTAAGGCCGCTCGGCCGCTTCACTCTGAGAGAAAAAAGGAAGCCGAACACAAAGCCGGTTGAGCGAAGTCCGGCAGGCAGGCAGGCAAGGGGACTCGCGCGTCTTTATAGAGTTCAGCACTTCCTCCAAAACCAAAATTCTGGCAGCGACGGCCAAGCCATTCTCAGTCCAGCAATTCAGGCCCTGGTGTATAAAACGGGAAACCCTCAAGCTCAAATCTTTGCTTTGCTGCCGACGATGCCCTGGAGGGCTTGTAGGTCTCCCTCCTTCCCATTCATGACTACAAGGATATCACCTGAGCCCACCCTACACAGTTGTACGCAGGGTTGAGAAAACCTACAGGTCAAAGCCCTGGTTCTCAGCCTGCAGTTTAGGAGAGAGCACCAGAGTGAATGCAGGAAGGATTTCCATAACAATAGCTCTTAATCCACCTCCTTCAAACCGACCCCCCCCCCCATGGCAGCCCTGTACAAATGTGACCTGGCGTATCCTGCTGACCTGGCCTGCCACCCAGGATCTTTCTCTGACATTTTGGCATGCTAATGATAACCCTGGGCAGTCCGTGGACGGTTTCAGATACCCTGTTTCCACTCCATCCGTAGCGTTTTACATGCTGGGGTTTTTGCTCCATCCACTAACCCTAACCCATTTCCCCCAAACCCTACATCTTAAGTGTCCATCCAAGGCCCTTCCTGGTCCTGTTTTTGTTTTAAAAGCCAAGAGTGGCCCTTTCTAGGCCCAGGGACACCCACAACTGCTCTACAACACCAAGCCAGACCCGTCCCTGCAGGCCAAACGTTACTGGGGGTTTCTGGTGCCAATTTTCCCAACACCAACGGCCGCTTCCGAACGAAGCCCAGTCGTGGCGCAAAGCCCTGCCAAGCAGCCACGGGCTTGGTGGGAAATCCCCCTCTTAAAATGACAAAAAGGCAGCCCCCTCCCAAGGCTGCGCCACACAAAACCGTGTGACTAGGGGTGGAGGGCACCGCAGATCAGTCACAGGAGACAAAGCAGCACAGACGCCAACGGCCAGGGACGGCCAGCGGGGCCCGGAGGCCGCTGTTTTATTTGCATTCTTGGGATAACTTCCGTTCTGACAGATCCGTGGCTGTGCTGAGAAGCCAGAGAGGAAATGACTTGTGTTGTCAGGCAGGTGGGGAGGGAGGGGGGGGACCCCAGGGCAGGGTACACACAGTTCAGTTCAGGCTGTTTTACAAGGAAACAATGAATCACGGAGGGAGGATTATCTCTTCGGTTTTCAAGGTTCTGACCCAAAATCAGGCATTCTAGGGATGAGCCCACACCCCCCCATTTCTTTGCCACCCTTGAATTAAAGGCAGAGAGGTGCCCCTCTACCTCGAGATTTGTGTTCTCCCGCTGCCTGCCTAAACAACAAGGGGCAAACAAAAAAAAAGTGTTTTTTAAACCTGTGTGCCCGGTAAGGACCCTGATGATCAGGACACCGGATGATCAGGACTTCCGCACCGGAAGCTCTTTGGTTTTTCTTCTTCTTTTTTTTCCTTTTGTTTTGAAAAGGGCTCACTCCTTGGGTCTCACCGTTTTTGCACCTCCGTTACGGAGCGTAAGAGAAGAGGGCGGCCACGACACACAGGGACCCGCCCCCCTTGCACGGCCAAGTTCCCACGAACTCTCCAGCCTCCCGGAGAGGCAGGCGTTGCTTCCTCAGCCATTGGCGCCGCCTCTTCCTCGGCCAGCCACCATGGTTTCGGGTGAACCACTGCTGATGCCGATTCCCAGAACAGCCCCTGTTCCCACCCCGGCCGCCCGCTTGCACCCTTCCAGGCTCTTCCCATGGGTCCAAGTGGGTGAGTGACCAGGGCAGAGGGGAGCAGCAGTAGCAGCCTAGTCTCTCTCACACACACACCCCTCTGCCCCCCAGCACCGCCACCTGGTGTCAACACCCTCGGCCTCCTTGTAGAGGGGAGAATTAAATGGGGGCCAGTGGCAGAGGGTCTCTCCTTTAAGGTTGCTTTATGCTTGACATCTCTTTCACCTCCCTGGTTCCTTCCTGGCCACTGAACGCCATATGGGGCTTGACAGTTACAATTAATCATTCAGAGAGGGTTGAGAGGGAGGGAAGGCCTGAACTCCACCCCAACCCCAAAACACACACACTTCGCAAGATGCGCCTTTCGGGACCCAGGTGCTAAAACACGGAGCACCCAGGGGACCAGCACAGATTTCTTCTCCAGGAAACAAAAGGCATGCGTGCGGGGGTGGTGGTGCTACCCTCTGCCTTCATGCAGTCTCCCAAGAAAGCCACCCTTCATGCTTGTCCACTGCAAAAGCCCAGCCAGCTGGGAATCGTGTCTTCAATGGAAAAGAAGCCCAACTGCTTTCCTGCCTAAGATGAGCCACAAAAGATCACGGACAGTGCACGAACCATGTGCAGGATGTTAACAGGAGGTTGGAAAGGTTACGTTTCGTGAGTACAACTCCCAAGATTCCCTTGATACCCAAGCCGGTGGGGGGATTTGGGGACCTGTAGTCCGAAAAAGAGCAAGCAGGGACCTTCCTCTAGATAGCCTGCTAGCTCAGAAGCCAGCCTTTGTAGGCAGGATGAGACACCGAGCACAAGAGAGGTTTGTTTCCTCTGAAAGATTCGGTGGCTGTGGAAGGCAAGCCTCTTTTCTCCTGTCGGGTACAGCGAAGTTCTCCAGCTTTACTCTCGCCAGCTGACAATGGACTCCACGCCACTTCTGGAGCAGCGACGCTAATCCTATGAAAGGTTGGTTGGCTGCCCTGCCTCTGGACGCGTGGCCGGAACTGAAGAAATCCCTGAAGCACCGGACCGAGATCTTTTTCCAAACGTGTAAACACTTCAGGGCAACTGGCCTGTAGGCCCAGGAGGGGTGCTCGGTTCCAAGACCCAATTTTTTCAGCAACGCTTCAATCTCTCTTTTTGGCTGGTGCCCGCAGGATCCACGCTTTGCAGCTGGGCTCTAAAACTTCTGCAAAGGCCAGAACCGCTTAATGAGGGACAGATGCTCCTTGCATGAGCTCCTCCTCCTCCTCCTCTAAGGTCCGACCAATTAACCTCCTCTTGGCTAATTGCTCTGCCTTGTCCACATCTGGCAAGGCGTCAAGGGGCATCATCGTCTTCGGAGAACAGCTGGGCCCAAACGCCTGGGATTAGAGAAGGAGGAGGGGAGTGACTTGGACCCCCCCCCAAGAAAGGAAGGCAAAGCCGCCACAATGTCTTAAAATGACAGGAAATGGCTTCTGCAGCTGGCCATCAGGCTGAAGGGCAAGAACACACACACTCACAAACAAAAAAACAGGGGGGGCTCACTCAGAATGGAAAGATTCCTTCCATCTAGATTCCTCGCTCAGCTTAGTCTCCTTTCCAAAGAAGAAGGAGCACAGGAACCAGTTGCCAGCCCCAGGCAATGCCTTTGAAGAGTGTCAGTTCTGGCTCAGGAACTCAGGGTCTGGCTTTAGCTTAAGACCGACCCCAGGCTGGGGCTTTTGCTAAGGGGCTCCCCCTCGTTCAACAAGAGACCCACTTCTCCCGAGTGAGAAGGCAGGAGGGCGGCTGATCCCTAAGCATAGTCGGCTGACGTGAGCTAGCAGACTGGACAGGGGAAGATGCGAGGCTGGGCATTTCAGGAAACTCTCATCCTCGCTGGGCTCATGTTACTTGTGGGGCAGCGTCAATGGCTGGCGGGGCACCAGGGGCAGAGGACGGAGGCCCCCGCTCCCGCCTAACAAAGAGCCCGCTAACGGCTATTAAATCGGTAGAGGATATGACATCACCTGGACCGCAAGTGCTTTCTCGGCTCATATGGCGGAGGAGCCCACCACCCTCTGGCGGCCACCGTCAGTAAGGCAGGTAGGTGATCCTGACTCTTATTAGCACTGGAAAAGGTCGCTGAGCGTAAGGATGTGCCACGAGAGGCCAAGACCGTCCACACTCTTGTACTGCCGATCATCGTGTAGGGGCGTGAAAGCGGACAAGGGAGAAAAATGGATCCGTCTGAAACATGGGGCTGGAGGAGAGCATTGCAGGTGCCCTGGAGGGCCAGAAAGACAAACAAGCGGGTCCTCCTAGAGCAAATCAAGCCTGAACTCTCTTCTGGAGGCAAAAATGTTGAAGTTGAGGCTGTCCTGCTTCGAGGAGGCAGGATCCTCTGGAAAAGGCCATCATGCTGGGAAAGGTGGAAGGGCACCAGGAAGAGAGGCCAAATACGCGATGGACAGGGTCCCTAAAGGAAGCCACAGGCTTGAGCATGCAAGAGCTAAGCAGGGCTGTTGAAGATAGAACTTTTTGGCGATTGCTAGGTCTGCTAGGGAGAACTCACCCCGGACCTCCTTTGCCCCACGGTGGCCACACCAAACAGCTCACTGCACATGGTCCCTACACCCCACACAAAGTAGACCCCCACTGTGTTCGCTCAGAGGTAAACATCACGGAATCCTATGGGGCTCATTCTCAAGTAACTCTGAGCATGGCCAGACTGTTATGGCCACGGCACGCCTCCCACTCCAGACCAGAGCACTGAATTGCACAGGGCAGATTCTGCCACAGGTCCAGACACGTCTAGAAATGAGACGCGGAAGCTACCTAAACACCAACCGGGCACAACACTGAGGAGGAGCAGGCTCTCCTACAGCACGATGGGAGGCTCCAGCGGGCAGCAACCCTTCATGCAAACCAAAGCATTTCTTCCCTTCACTCCAGGCTTGTCCTTCAGCAACGAGGAACAGGGACCAAGGACAGCAAAACCACACGGGGAAGGACTTTGCTTTTCGGAGAGGGTGGCAAGGAAAACAAACCACCAGCTTCCTCCACATTTTCCAAAGGCACTTGAACTGCCGATGCTGATAACAATTCAGAGAAGGCCACCACGACGCTTCTCTGCCAACACTCCCCACTGCAGTTGGGCTTCTCATTCCATCACCTGAAGCGTTCCGGAGAACCTCAAAAGCTCGCTCGCTTGTTTGTGATGCTTTGTTTTGTCCTAGTAAAAGGACTGGCCTAGAGAGGAGCTTAGATATTTTTTTCCTATGGACCAACATGGATAGTTAACATAATACTTGTTTGACTACTTTTAATATATTTATAGGCTCACCATGCTTAGATTCTGTTGTCTTTTTAATGATCTAAGCTGCCTTGGGTCCTTTTAAGGAGAAAGGGACGGTAAGAATATTGGAAATAAATTAAATGAATAAATATCTGGGCTTTCAGGGTGAGCGCTTTCTTCCCCAGCGTCTTCTGGTGCGAGACTGCTCACTTCCATGGGTTGCTGAAGTCCCCAATTCAGCCCCGTGGGCTCACCCTGCAAGACTCTCAAGCTGGTAAACTTTCAGATCAGCCTCTGCTGGGAATTAAGGGCCCACATGTCTGAGGAGCAGAAACTAGTTAGAAACTGACAGGAACACCCACAGAGCCTGTACCATCACAGCTTTTAAGGCCAGGGTTCAAGCTTAGCAGGGCAGGAACAAGGCATTACACTGGAGCAAGAAGCGATGGAAGCAGCAGGCTCTGTTTTTGAATGCCACCAAAGCCCACTTGCACCCTTGATGAGACTGGAAGCAGGCCCTAAGGATCTCTCACTTTTTTCTGGTTGCTGGGGAAAAGAGTGGCTGAAAGCTGATGTGGATTTGAATCCTTCTTCCAGTAAAAATAACCCACTTCCTTCCTACACGTCCCCAAAACAAGAGTCAAAGGATTACCTCTAAATAGATAGATTCCTGGATGCTAACGAAGTCCCCTGAAAAGAGGTTCTCAGGTCTCCGTCAGCTTATAGGGTGCACCAATTTACTTCCACCCAGCAGAACTCTGACCGTCGTGTGACTTTTGGCACCATGTCACGGGGAAAAAAAGGCAGGGACTTACCCAGAAACGGTCGGATGAGACCCTGGGCCCACAGCCTTCTCTTCTTGCTGCTTCAGGAATAGCTGGGCTTCTTTGGACGTAGCATCCACCTCCTTTGTGACCCTGTCGGAATGAAAGGAGACCATGGCAAAGCCGCACATGAAAAGCACAGACAGTCATAAGCACGCAGCAAAAAGCGGAGAAGGGATGCAGGTGGCGATCAGTTTGTAAAAGCCAGAATGTCAGTATACTCCCCCCCCCCACGACGGCCTTTTTCGTCACAAAGGCAAAAGCCAGCTTTCTTCACGCTCTCTGAATTCCTTTGAGAGATAGTGAGCCACTCCAGTGCTGGAAGCATTCCGTCACAAAGGCAAAAGCCAGCTTTCTTCAAGCTCCCTGAATTCCTTTGAGAGGTAGTGAGCCGCTCCAATGCTGGAAGCATTCATCCAATCTGCTTTAATTTGGTTTCCTGCTTTGAGCAGGGGGTTGGGCTTCATGGCCTTTGAGGCTCCTTCCAACTCCATGATTCTAGGATTCTACATGTAGTGAGACAGAAAAGACTGGGGCCTTTTCCCCCCAGTTACACCTGATCAAAGGTTAATGGCCAAGTGCCATTATCCCTATAATTTCTCATACCAGGACAGACTTTGACAATGGGAAGCTGACACATACCAACTCAGACCCCTGATCTCTCAAGCCCCATGTTGTCAACTCTTGACCAACAGTGGATCCTTCGAGATTTCAGGAGATTCTTTCCTGGTCCCTGCCTGGCAATGCTGGGAACAACATTGGGGATTGTGCTCCGCCACTGAGCTACTGTCTCTCCCCAGCAAAGTTGCCCTAATTCTCTGGTGGCCTCCCATCCAATTACTAACCAGGCCTACTGCTGCTTAGCTTTGCAACCCAGAGGAAATCACCATGCTAATGGCAGATACTTATAGCACACTTCTGCCTCTTAGCTCTTCTCCATAATTTATGCTGTGAGGTCTCTAAAAGCCCGAAGCAAAAGAAAAAAAGCTGGAATAATTGCTTTTCCATTTAGCAAACACCATCCCAGCAATACAAAATGGATGTAGAGTGAACAACTACATTTTATCGCCAGTGTGAAAAACAGCCACCCAACTTCTCTTGGGATGGGCAGGAAAGAACCAAAGATTCTTTTTCAATCTTCAAAGAGCTAAATCATAGATCCAGGCCCTTGTCATGTGAACATAAAGAAACAAAAAGAAGGAATGGCAATTTGAAGCAAAATTGCATTGTCGGCACTGAAAACCCCACGGAGGAAAAAAAAGAGTTCATTTTTAATGCACTTTTTAAAACCTCAATAACCTCAATCATTTAGGACATGCTGACATCAAGAAAAGCTTCCTTTGTATGCACTTAGCCACACACGTTGATTTTTTTAAAAGCAGCCCTATGCTGTTTTTTCCCGTGCATCTGAAAAACATATAACTATCTGGTTTGTTGTTCTGCTGTTTTGGAGGGTCTTTTTTTTTTTTTAATGTCTTTATCATTAAAGCATGAATTTCAATTAACTGAATGGTATAAAGTATGGGACACTGCTATTAATGATAAACTAACTTGCAATATGAAGTTTAATAAAGGGATGACAAACAAAAATATTTTTTGGGATTTTTAGGAACTTTTATTGACTAAAGGGAAGGGTCATGTACTAACCAAAGCATCAGTGCAGTTTTCCAAGGGGAACGGGGCATCATAAATAAAATAAATGCAGTATGTATTCAAAAGGGGCCTGACGGAAAGAGGCACTGTGTCCATGGATGGATGTATTAAGTTCTTTATTAGATTTGCACATGATAAAAAACACTAAATAATGTATTTGCCTTGTGGGCCCTTCTATCTCTTTTCGATGAGACAGAAACCCAGCCTCCCTTCCTTCTGAGGTACCTTTCAGCCAAACACCTACATCAAGTGACAACTACTCAGGTAAGCTAGGAATACCCGTCTTCCCTCCCACACACACCAGGGGCAGAACAAGCCAAACCTACCTGACCTCCTCGCCAGCAAAGTCAAACACTTGAGTGATGGCCACTTTACTGTTTTCGGGCTCCTTTGTTACCTCTTGGGGCTTGGACAACGACTTCTCCTCTGCTGGCTAAATCGAAACATGACGACAATCAGATCTATTATCGAGATCCCTGGTACCCGACCAGATGCCAACAATTCTTGAATGCTGCCTCTGCTCTTTTCAAACTCCACTTTCATTAAACTGACCTTCCCAGAGGTAGCTGACTTCTCTAGTAACTTATCCCTGACCAAGCGTGGTCTGGAACCCACCTTACACAACTCAACAAATGTCATGCCTAGGTAAGTTTGTGAACTGCTTCTGGTCAGTAGGCACGAAACCGAAACACAGCACTTACTGGAGGAACAGTCCAAAAGCTTATCCACTCCAAATGAAAGGACAGTAGAATGACTCAGTGCAACCATCAATACAGTCTATTTACAACTACTGGCTGTTTCTAAAATAAATCCATCCTTCCATTTAAGGAATTGGCTTCTGTCCTGGAAAGGAGGGTGGTAAGACATACATCTTTACCCCATCAAGGGGTTTTAACACTTCACGTTCTGATTTTTGTTCAGCCTTGGAGGGAAGGTTTGTTTGTTTGCTTTTACACAGGAGGAAGAATGTACCAGAAGCATGAGATGAGCAAATTATTTACCAGTTTCACAAACGTCTCCTACAGATGCTAGCCACATAAGAAACCCAACATTACCACCTTCTCTCAGCCACAGGTAAGTTTGTGAACTGCTTCTGGTCAGTATGCACGAAACCGAAACACAGCACTTATTGGAGGAACAGTCCAAAAGCTTATCCACTCCAAATGAAAGGACAGTAGAATGACTCAGTGCAACCATCAATACAGTCTATTTACAACTACTGGCTGTTTCTAAAATAAATCCATCCTTCCATTTAAGGAATTGGCTTCTGTCCTGGAAAGGAGGGTGGTAAGACATACATCTTTAGCCCATCAAGGGGTTTTAACACTTCACTTTCTGATTTTTGTTCAGCCTCGGAGGGGTTTGTTTGTTTGTTTTTTTACACAGGAGGAAGAATGTACTGGAAGCATGAGGTGAGCAAATTATTCGCCAGTTTCATAAATGTCTCCTACATGAGAAAGCTACATGAGAAAGCCAGCATTACCACCTTCTCAACCAATTGGAAATCTGGGAAGGTGGAGGGCTGTGGTCATAGTGAACTTACTTTACAGCAAAAGGCTACCAATGATTGTGTGACCACAGCAGTCGCTCACCAAGCTTTCAAAGGACTTCAGGTGGATCCTGACAAGTCACAGCCATCTCAGGAGAATAACACAAATATATAAAGCTGTTTTATACGGAGCTGCCGCAAGCTAGTCTTCTTAGAACAGATTGGATGCTGGTCTCTGATTCTTTCTTAGCCCTGCCTGGAGATTCCTGGTATGACCTGGTGGTCTCCCATCTAAGTACTAACAAGACCTGATCATTTCGTTTTCCAAATCAGGTGAAATCAGGTATGTTCAAGGTGATTTAGGGGACAACTGGCACAGTCTGTGAACACAGTGAAGTGTTTTGGCCTCCCCAGCTTTGCTCCACCCAAGCCCACCATCTCACAGAGAAGTGATTAGCAGCATGTGGTTGTTGCCAATGGTGTGCACTGAGACTCACAATGGTCACTTCTTTCTATTATTTGACCTAAAACAACCACTCATATCTTTTCAAGTGCAAAGCCTTCTTAGGCGGCGCGGCTGGTCTCTGATTCTTTCTTAGCCCTGCCTGGAGATTCCTGGTACAACCTGGTGGTCTCCCATCTAAATACTAACAAGACCTGACCATTTTGTTTCCCAAATCAGGTGAAATCAGGTACGTTCAAGGTGATTTAGGAGACAACTGACACAGGCTGTGAACACAGTGAAGTGTTTTGGCCTCCCTAGCTTCCCAGGTTTGCTCCACCCGAGCCCACCATCTCACACAATGGTGGTGAGATGCAGCATGTGGTTGTCACCAATGGTGTGCACTGAGACTCACAATGGTCACTTCTTTCTATTATTTGACCTAAAACAACCACTCATATCTTTTCAAGTGCAAAGCCTTCTTAATACAACCTCACCAAGACAAGTGTGCTTTGTGTCAAACTGCAAATAATCACATCCTCCGATATTTAATTTCCTTCAAGTTTTTCTAGCTGCAATTTAGGACGCTGCTTAGCACTCATCAGCTTGCTGTATGCCTCTGAGTGCTTTGTATACACAATCTGCATGCACACACTTTTTTGCTGTAACTGTTATTGTCTGCAAGTATCAGCACCTTGAACTGAAAATTGTTGTGTCTGATTTATAGGGCTGGGAAGCAAAAGCCACCCTTTGTCTCCTAACAAAAGGTGGCATTTCTAAACCCTCAACAGTAAATACTCACACATGGAGATGCTCCCTTCTTCTGGGAAAATCTCTGACTCCCAGCCTTGAGAACAAACTGGTCTTTCTAGCCACAAGTAAATCTGAAGTGATATGAATTCAAGGCCAACTGCTTTCTAGACCGAATTCAAGGCACTTGTTTGGGCAACTGCTGCACAATCAAGAACAACACAGTGTGTCTTTTTAAAAAAGTATATTCCAAACATCCCTTTAAATAATATCTTTCTTTTTTTTTTCCCTTACCTTGTCTTTCTGCATGCAGGGCACCTGGCTCGTAGGAGCTGCTTTAGGCTTCTGGCCCACATCATTGAGAAAGCTGGCCCACAGCGCATCTTCTTTCTTCCTTTGCTCATTTTCATCTGCGTGCACATTATTACTTTCCCCCGGCTCACTGTCTTCACCCTCGCTCCTGTCATCTTTTGATGATTCTTCTCCATCTGGTTCTAAAAAGAGGCCACCATCTTTCCTTTTCCTGAGGATGAACAACACAAGAGAGAGAGAGGAGGAAGGGGGAATTTACAATAGGATCACTTCTTGAGTTTTTACCAGGAGCATATTCCCCCAGTGCCAAAACTTTCTAGGGAACCAACACTTTGCTCAGTGGATCTACCTACAAAAATGGCTGATATTACAGCTATCTTGTCATAAACCAGGACCAAAAGACACTTCCTACCATCTACTCACTTATTCTTACACCAAAGAAAACTCCTGCTTACCGACATGTGATCCCCTTGGAATTTTTCTTGCACTTCCTCCCGCTGGATTGCTTCTCCTCTTCCACGTCATCCTCCTTGACCAATTCACTCACGTCATCTTCGCTGTACTCCTCATCTGTATCAATAGGGAAGTCATGTCATGCCTGTGCTTGCTTGCTATCGAAGGGGAAAAGCCTCAGCAAAAACGCTGTTGCCTTTGGCAGGAAACCAAGAGCCCAATGTTTCAGTCATAGCCAAAGCTGTCACTGTCTAACCAACCCCGGGGGGGGGGATGTAAGGTCATGGTACGCTACTTTAATTCTACTTTTTGTACACAGCAACTTCACCAGCACGGAGCCCAAATCTATACAAACGTTCTGAACTAAACTAAAGTTGGAAAGACGTTCTAAGATGTTTACTTTTCCACGCATAAGGATTAAAGCTGAGAAACTGTGCCCTGCATTTGGATTGAATGTGTCTACCTGAAAGGAGTCAAAGCCAAAGTAGCAATTAGTAACATTTGAGAGGAGGCAATTCCAGGACAGTTCTATATTTGCAACATTTGTTGGTTCATTCAATTTCTAGAAGTGCCAGGAAAAAGGAGAATTAGCTACCTACAAAAACAGCTGATATTACAGCCCATATATACACGGTTGCAGCTGAAAGTCTCCTCTGTGATGGATTTCCAAAAGCTTTCAAAGAAGAAGAAGAATCACCTTTTACAAGCCATTTTTTTACAAGTCTACCCCAGAGATGAAAGCCCCCCCCCCGGGAACAATCCAATCTTAGCTCCTGGTGGAAACTCAACAAAGACTGAGCTGAACCATTAAGCTGCAGAGACACTGAAAGAGCCCTGATCCAGTTAGCCCTCCACCTGGCTTCTTGGGGGTGGGGGGTGGGACACATAACAAGGCCTCTGCTGAGGATCTGCAGAAGGAAGTGGTCTTAAAGATGCTCAGTCCTCAAATTTTTTAAAGCCAACACTCTGAACTGAACTGACGGGCCAAGGCAGGTGGTTCAAGAGCAATGCCAGGCGGCTTTTAAAGGGCACATCAGGCCACCATGTGGGAAAGGCGGAAAGCATATCCACAAACCGGAGAAGGTACCGCCAGCTACACATCATCCCTTGTTGACACCAATTCATCTTCAATACACAACCACCCCCCCTTCAAAACGGGTGCCCATCGAATAGGCCAGCCTACCCTCACACATCCTGCTCCCTTGCCTGCCTCTTCGCCAGAGAAACCCTGTGGACATGAATGCTTGCCTGCCTCTACGTGTGGGCGTAGGTACGAATCTCCCCCCCCCCACTTTCCACCCCGACACTATTCACCAGTGGCTGCTGGGCCACCACAAGGGCCATCATCTGCCACTGGGGGAGCAGCCCGAGATTGTGAAAAGAAAAAAGAAAAAAAGGGAGGCTGCCTTGATCCAGGCTGGAATGGCGAGTTTTTTTTTTAAAAAACCAAAGCCCTCAAAGCCAAAAACTTCTGAGCAAGGGCTCCTTGCAGCTAGAAAGCCAGCCTACAAGGGGGGGGGGTGTTTGCGTTCTGCCTGCCCTGCTAGCTTTCCACTTGCGGGGAGCTGACTTCGCCTCGCCCAGGAACATCACAGGGAGGCAAACGACCCCCTAATCCCCGAAGGGGCTTGGCTACTACACATCCCAACATCCCCCCCTTCCCTTGCAGGCCCTACGACCCCAGATGGGAAGTGTAGTCCGAGAAAGGGAGGGAGGGAGGAGGGAGGAGGGCTCCGCCAGGCTGTGGTCACGTGGGGCTCCCGCCCCGTACCCCGGATGTAGGAAGGCCGAGACATTCCCCCCTCCCCCCCCCGGCAGCCGTTGACGCGGCCTAGCCGGGAAAGGAGGCGCCTTCCCGTCAGTGCCCATGGCCGGAGGGGCCCCTTCCCCCTCCTCACCCCCCAGGACCCCGGGAGGGAGAGACAGAAAGGGAGGCCGCGCCGCCTCACCGGACGGCAGGTAGTCCTCGTCCTCCCCCGACGAATAATCCTCCGAGTCCGACATGGCGCTTCCGGCGAAGCTCCGGCTTCTCCTCGCCCGGCCCCCGGAAGCCGGAAGTGCGCGTTCCCGCTCACCCCGCCCCCTGACGCTGCGCAAGAAGTCCCCGCGCGTTACGATAGAAGAGGGCCGGCAAGAGCGTCCATCGCGTCAACCATAGAGAGGAGGCCTAGGAATGGGCACCCATCAGTTGAATGTAGTAGAGGCCGACACGCTTCTCTTCTGGTCTAATACATTGAGTATATTATATTAGGTTATATTATAATGCATTGCATTATATTATGCTATAATAAATTGCATTATATTATGTTTTATTTGTTTAGTCCTTAAGTCAGCCAAACTTGCTGGCATATTGAACGTAGCACCTTAACAGCATCATCTTTCAAGATTTTAAATAGTTCAACTGGAATG